ACTGAGTTGTTTACATAATAGGTGGCACTATTGACTGGCTCAATGGGCACAATTCTATGCCTCCACTTGAGGATACACCCCCAAGACCACCAAACGCCACGGCTACCGGGAACCAAAATAATAGTGACCAACGTGGTGGAAGGGAAGGGATTGAGGAGAGCTAAAATACGAATAATCTGCGCCCTCGACCTTCAAAGTCACTGGGAAGTAGACAGCGGGCTGCTAGGAGACGAGCCAGGAGAGGGAAGCTACTGGGAAATGGTGAGCACCCAATAAAGGACAAGGGTTGCCTCCTAAGGCGCCACGCCGAGGGAACCAGGGCAATAACGCCCAGGCAAACTCGGAGTCGATGCAGCGCAGCGGAGATTTAAGGAATCAACTAAATGCTTAAAGAGCAAAGGCTTCGCAAGGAGCTAACTCTGCCATATATGCAGCCGAGGTAAAAGCCATTATGTGGAACACCCTCCAGAATTAAACATGTTTAATTATGCTAAATTGAGTCATTAGTGTGCCTAATTTGATCTTTCTAATTAATCAATGAACTTTAAATTATTTTCAATATTTATAATTTCACCCCAAAATTTTTTGAAAATACACTTAATTTTAATGTATTATTTTTTCTTTTTCCCTATTTTCTTCTTTTTTTTCTTTTCTTTTTCCTTTTCTCTTTCTTTTCCTTTTCTTTTCCTTTTCTTTTCTTTTTTTTTCTTTTTTTTTTCTTTTTCCCTTCCCTTCCTTCCTTCTCGTGGGTTCCCCTCAAACCCACTCTCTCTCTTTCTTTCTTTCTTTCTTTTTTACCTTTTCTCTCTCCTTTGTTTCTTCTCCACCGCAACACACACACACACTCTCTCTCTTCCCCTTCACTCCGGCCGGCCATCTCTCTCTCTCCCTCTCTTGCTAGTTTCTCTCTCCCTTGCTCTCTCTCTCTTTGGGTTTGTCTATCTCTCTCTCTTGGAGTCCCTGCCGAAACAAGGAAAAAGAAGAAAACAAATGAGAGAAATAGAGGGAAAGCTTCAATCACTTTGAGGTAAGGATTTCTTGAAAACCCATACTTGAATTTGAGTTATTGATTTGAGAATTTATAATTTTGGTTAGATTTGATAAATTTTGAGTTAATGTTTGGATTTAAACAATTGTTGTTGGAATGAATTAAATTTGGGGGTTTTCAGTTGTTGAACTTGTTAAATTGATTGGAAACTGGTTTTGATGATTTCTGGAGAATTTATTTGAAATTGAACTTGAATTGCAGGTTCAGCATTTTCCCTATTTCTGCCGACATGCTTCCGAAATTTCTTTAAAAACTTGTTTTAAGCTGAAATTCAATGGGAAAACAAACCAATGAATTGGATTTCAATTTTTAAAGAACCCCCAAACTTAATTATAAAGTCGTTTGTGAAACTTATATTTGAGTCAAGGCACACTAATAGGAGACAATTAGACATAATTGAACTTGATTTGTTTTAGGAATGAGGTTTGTGTCCTAAAACGTCGTTTTGTGACAATGCTAGTTGAGGGATCAGATTAAGAGCTTTGAGGAAAGCAGAGGCTAGGATAACGAAAGGCTAGCCACAGATTTGACATCCGAGAGGTAGGATATCCTTACCCATATCCTTGTTAGCGTGTTTTAAAGTGTTTTGGCCTATGTAAATGTTTTTAAAGATAAGACATGTTTGATAAAGAAAGAAATTTTAAGACAATAGTTTGATTATTGCTATTGATCTCATAATGAACTGTTTTAAAGTTTTAATGAATATTTTCTTAAAATAAGATATCTTGCGAATTGGTAAGCCTACTGATGGCCTAGACAACATATGGAGATCGTATCCTTAGGGGCAGAACCTGAAACCCAGACGGGTCAATACGGTGGTGATAAGGCCTTGCATTGGTCGTAAGTAATTTATCATTAAATTACTTGCTGATTGCCTGAAATTTAGAATTTAAGTTTATTTACCTTTCAGTAAAAAGGTTATTTGGTTCCAAATGATTCTTTCGGGCCTGTATTTTCATTATTTATTCAGTTTTTATAAATTATATCGTACTGGGTCTTTCGCTTACTTTTTCTCTATTTTCAATGTTTTAAACGCCCGCTTTAGATTTACAGCATGGCAAGTTGATGCCAATGGATTGAAGGCGCGAGATTCGAAGCAATACGTTTATTTCGGATGTGCAGTTTTAATTATGAGATGTACTGTATTTCTGTATATAAGCTGTATTGATCGACATTGTCCCAAAGTTGTATTATTTTAAACTTTATGGACTGTTTTAAATATTATTTGTAAAAGAAAGACTCCGGAGTAATATATTTTAATATCTATTTTGGTATTTGTACATTTTATTTTATTTTCATGGATTTTTCTTAATTAATCCAGTTTAATTAAGTTAAATTTTAAATTAAACCCCAATAATCACAGCCCTATATTTGGGATCGTGACATTATGGAGCGCATGGCCAGCTCAGAGGAAAAAATATCAAGTGATGTCGTCGGTTTGAAAAAATATATAAAAAGCCAGGTGAATCACTTGTAAAAGTGTTTGGGGTAAGTAGCTAAAGTTGTGATTGTTGACATCACAGCACAGAAGGTTCATGATCACCCTTTCACAGCAGAGATCATAAGTATAAGGCTCCATCCATTCCTCTTTATAATGGAAGAGAAAATCCGGATGACCATTTGAATTTTATTAGGATTCTTTATTATTTGTTGTTAGTATTAGGATCCTTATCTCTGTAGAAATTTATTAAAAATAGGATTGGCATTTAGGTTAGGATTTATTAGCCTATAAATAAGGCTATATTTTGTTAATTTAGTTAAAGTTTTTTAATTATTAATATCAATTTCGTAGTTATTTTAGAGTATTTTCTATTCCGCTGCGTCAAGTAATATCAGAGTTGTGGCTTCATTTCAATGGTTGCAGTCGGCGATAGAAAAAGAGTACCCATCAACGAAGATCGTGAGTTCTATTACGTTCGACATGATGCAAGATGTTTGTTCTTTTGCAATGAAACTTAAAAAATGTTTAAACTCAGGTTACAACTTTATTCAAATTCATGTTCTTTTGTAAAATTTGAGTTTGAACTCGAGTTTGAGGCTAAACTCGAGTTCAAGTTTTTCCTTCAACTCGAGTTCATAAACTCAAACTCAAGTTAATGAATAATATTTTTTCTATTCTTAAAAATGCCATAACTTTTTCATTTTAATTCTGATTGAGATGATTTTTTTTCTACGTATGCACAACGAAAAGAAGAATAAAACCTCACTCATATACTCTATTAAAATTTTTCATCACCATTGAGATTTTATTAAAATACTAAATACAAATTTAAGTTTTGACCCACTTAAATACAAACTCAAATAGATTTTCAATTCAAATCATAACTTAAATGTTCACATCCAAACACAAACTCAAGTTACAACTTCAAGTTATAACTCAAACTTAATTTAAGATTATCACTCAAATCTCCTCACTCAAAAATGTAAAAGAACAACCCTTAATGTTTCCAATGGAGCATCTATCGATTTCGCTGTAGGAGGGTCCAAACTAAACCTTGGAAGCAGTTGATGACTAGTGATGTGCCTTCGAAACCGCTTTTTAGCAATCTTACAATGACAACATCATAGTTTCACAGTATGAGCGCCCAACAAGCTCAGTGACAAACACAACAATGAAATGAGCAGACCATAATTGGAGATGTGACACCATTGTTGAGAGCGCCTCAAGCATATTTTCGTCGATTTGATCAAGATGATTTTTAAGTTGGTTTTGGATATTCAATCTCATTAAAAAAAAAAAAAAAAAAGGTATATTCAAGGTTATCTCAACCTCAAAGTACCTAGCTTTAATGGCTTTTTTGAATTGGAAGAATTCTCAGAATGGATTCATATAGTAGATGAGTTCTTTGAATTTGTGGAGGTGGAACGAGAAAAGCAAGCTTTCTTGGTGGTTAGAAAATTCAAAGGCTACATGGTTTATTGGGTGGGAATTGGTTCAAAACCAAAGAATTCGTCAAAGGAAACAAAAGATTAGAAGTTGGGCTAAGATGAACAGCAAAACAAAAACTTTTAGAGCCTGTTTGGTTTATGGATTAGAATCATGAGATTAGAACTATTTTCGATTTACGTGTATTTTTTGTGAGAGAAAATACTGTAGCAAATCATAAACCAAGATTCGAATCAGAGAACGAATCATCAAACTAAACGGGCTATTTCTTACCATCTGATAAAGAGTCAAAACTGGAGTATATTTGAGCTTGCCAACTCATAATGATCTTAAGAGAAACCTAGTTCAAGAATAGGTGCTTAAAGAATATGAGGTTTCTCCAGAAGATAATATACCGCAAAATAATAAAGTTTGTGACGTTGGCGAAACAACGATAAAAAAGCATTAAGAACATAAGATGAGCAAGTTAGTGATTTCCGAAAATAGTAAAGGATTGATGGAGCCAAGTTTGATGAACAAACAATTAGCAAACAGTCAGAGGGAAAGTTTAGAGCAAGAATCAAAAGCAATTGGCTGATGATGAACGTTCAAAGCCTATGGAGCAAACTAAGGAAGTTCCAAACGCAACAGTATAGGAGAAATCCTTGGAGAAAGATGGCATTCCTACCGACACGCAATCTTTACTCACTGAGATCAAAGATACAACTCTGCCTAAGCTGCCAAATAGCTTTCTACTCATACCAGAGGTACAGCAAAACAAAAAATTAGTGTAGGTTGTTAGTTGGTCGAATCCGCCTTATTATCGAATGAGGAAAAAGGAAGATGATCAGGTACGACAACAACTGAATGAATGAGCTATTGACTAAGAATTTAATCCAAGAAAAAGTGAATTTTTTATGTTAAAACTTTCACAAGATTCAAGCATTCATCAATGATAGGGGCTCCTTTTATGGTAGGCATTCCTACATGTTTCCATTTCTATGAACATCAAACAAAATCAAAATCACAAGAGAACGAAAAACTATGAAAAGTGGGCCAAACTTGATGAAGACATGAAAAGGCACATTGCAGGCGGGGAAATTCTCCAAACGGCTTAGCAAAACTTTTATTTCCCATAACGATAGAGTGATAGAAAATTGGAGCTGATTCAAGAAACATTGATAGGCAACAGAAAGAATGTAGCAAAATTATGAGGCACTAATACTGATGTATATATAGCTGTAGACCTTTCCCATTTGAAGTTCTACTTCTAATTGCTCCTTTTGAAAAGAAGAGATGCCAAGCCCATTCTCCATCCGAGGGTCATCGAGGGCTCAGTTTTTTTGGGTATGAGAGATGCCAGACCTACTGGCACGCCTTGATTGACGTTCACCTCCGGCTTGGAAACTGTCCCTGAGGATCTGAAACAAAAACAACCAACTTATTCACAAATCTGAAAGCTTGGGGTTCTAAAATATTTAGGAATGAAATATCTGCATACTGCTTCCACTATGGAAATAGGTTAGACCAATGATACCCAACACAAACTACATTCATCAATGAATATCATGATTGCACAAGTGTCATAATTCTGTGAATTTCAGAACATAAAAATTGTTCTGTCTTAGATTTTACCATAACAAGTCAAGTTTTAGTTTCATAATTTTTTTCTTTTTTTTCATGATGATAATATCATTTCAGGTTATAAACTTATAAGTAATAATAATGGATTAGTACTCTGGAAATCAAAAACCATCTATAACGCTATAGATTTACATGTATAGGAAACTCCGACATCAAAAATGAATTTTCCATAGAGACATCAAAAAATGAGTTGCACAACTACAAAGAGAACTGCCCACATCTATTGATGTCGCATACGATTTATTAGTGAATAAGCTGAAAATGTACCACAAGATACAATTATAAGCAAAAATAAAAGTTACACTACTAATGAAGATATGAATGACTATGATTCATGCAAAGAACACCACATTCATACCTATGATTCATCATGAAACCCAATTTGCTTTCAACTTTTCAACTATCACAATAAAATTTCCATTCACTTGAGAATCCTAGAATAGAACTACAGAACTCTTTGCAGTATCATCAACTCCCCAAGACAAGAACACCAAGATTACAAATGAGGCTTCAAATTGACCCATGAAGAAGCTAAAAAGTTCCGAAATCTACGGATTGGTGCTAAACCAATTAACCATTTCATGGTACATAAAAAAAGGGTCAAATTGAGGAGATCAAAAAAAGCAAAAGAGTTCCAAAATTACGAACTCGTGCAAAACCCATTAAGCATTTCATGGTACATAAAAAAAATAAAAAAAAATAAAAGGGGGTCGAATTGAGGAGATAAAAAAAATGCAAAAAAGTTCCAAAATTTACGAATTGGTGCAAACCCGTTAAGCATTTCACGACACATAAACAAGGGTCAAATCAAGCAGATTAAAAAATGAAAAAAAAAAAAAAAAGTTGACATACTGTGAAGGCAGAGGACCTTCATAGGCAAGAGTCGAAACGCCTTGTCGCTGCTTGTGCTTGGGATTGGCAGTGCAAAGCACGTAAACGCGTCCGCGGCGTTTCACCGTACGACAAAACTCGCACATCTTCTTCACTGAAGATCGGACTTTCATGGCTGATCGGGCTACGCTAAAGAATCAAAATAAATAACTAATGGCTGTTTCCGAAAATGGGAAGAAAAAGTAGGAAAATTAACAGAAATAAAAATCTTACCTTTGAAATTGATTGAGAATTTTCGAGGGTTTCGACGGGGATTATACTGTCAAGAGCAAATATTGTCGTACATTTCTAGGGTTATTTTTCCCTGAAGTGGAAGATGGTAGGGGTGTAAATCGGCGGGTAGGGTAGGGTTGAGCCGAAAAATTGAGCCTACCTGATCAGTGCGGGTTGAAAAAATTTTGGGCCGCGACACTTTCTTAAGTCTACAAACCCGTAACCTTTCGGGTGACCTCGGGTAGAGTCGGGTTACTCGGGTTGGTGATCTCAATGACCACATGATCACTTTTTAGTCAATTAATCTGTGCTTGTTATAGAAGAATCATTATCAAACAGAACATGTCTTTCCTTCAAGAGGGGGTATAAATGCAAGGTGAATAATTAAAACACTCACTTTGAAATCAAACACTTCCAATATAAATAAAGAATATCCTAATTCAACAACTATGGCATACAAGCATTTTTTACACAAACCGTGAATCCAAAACATAAATAAATTAACAGTTTAAATGCATAAAGTCCATAAACTTATGAAAGTAAGAATTTGAAGTATTGGATATTGTTTTACCTACTTTGAACATGTTCGGCCAGGTAAGATTACCTCGGGTTCATGTAACCCCACCCCGCGCCCCTACCCACGCAATGTGGGTTAGGCATAATTAAAACCGAAAAGTAAATAAAAAATAAGAAACCTGTGATTTTCGAGTAGGGTCGGCTCGGCTCGGCCGGGTTCGTCGGGTTCGGGGTGATTTCTTACGGCCCTAGAAGATGGTGTATTGAGATGTTTGACGGCGTCGTTTTATTGTGCAGAAACATAACTTTGTCTGGGCCTCGTAGTTACAGAGCTAGCTCAATGGGTCAAGTCTGGTGGACTCATGTGTTGTTAAAAGCCCAAAACTTGGAATGGCCTAGCAAACTAACTTAGGCCCAATACACATAAAAAAATGTTGAGAAATTGTAGAAAATAGGTCAATATGCATGAGTTTAGATTTTTACTCTTACTCTTAATTAATACCATTTTAATTAATATAATATTTAATTAAAAAAGTATTAATTAAGAGTAAGAGATAAATTGAGACCATGCAATCTACAGGGTATCTCCTTTTCCCCTTTAAAACTATAGGAAGTAAATATCAAATTTATCCATCACTAAAAATGTAATAGGTCATTTTTAATTTTGAACTTTTTATCAATATAACATAATCTAATTACCTGATAAGTCTTCAATTTACGTTGTAAATCCATTATTTACCAAGACTATAAATCCGTTGTTTATTATAATAAAAGACAATTACTTATCAATTTACACAATTTATTTTGGTAAATATATTATTTACACACTATTTTTTGTTTGTTTGTTTACTTGATTAGATCATTTCTTCCCATGAAAGACATTATTTAATTTATTATTTGATGGTTTTTTATTGAGAATTTAAATTATTTTTTATTGAAAAGTTGGATTTATTTATTGAAATTAGAAAAAGCTCCCCAAAAGTTTAAAAATTCCCAAAATGAGGCCTTTGGCTTAGTTTCGTATTGCTGTAGATTTTGAAAATTTTACGTTTAGCTATGCTGAAAGAAAAAATAGATGTTATAAAAAGCAGCTGAGTGTTTGGTAAAATATAATTATAGTAGTTGTGTTGGTTCTAAAATCAATGTAATAGCGTTTGGTAAATTATGAGGTTGAATTGTTGTGGATAATTAAAAATTACGACTATATTATATTATACTATAATATATATATATAATTACAATATAATATATATTTATTATTATATTTAATATAATACATAAAAATTATTATTATATAA